TGAAGAACATCAACAATAGCAATTTTCAGTAACAAGGTTTTTGGGGCTTTTTAAGGGAACAACGTTTCGAACAAATAAGTCAAGAAGCTGGAGATAGGAGGAGGGTTGCTGCTGCTGCTTAACTTATGCTTTCCCTGCCTGTGAAGGTGAAATTAAACTTCAGATATGCCTCTTCAAAATGCATAATAGATATAATAATATAAAAGAACAGGCAACCATCAACAGGGACTATCCCTAGTAAACAAATGTGACTGGGGGAAACACATGAGGTGTATTAGACGACAACAAAACTTACAGTTACCACTGCCTGTTCATAACAAAAAATAACGTCATGCTTTCACACATTCCCAGATTTCTAGGCAGAGTTCACAGCTTAAAATACATTCTTAAAATCCATAATCTTTTTCTTCCCAACTAGTCATGTCTCTCAAAGTCAAATTAAAACTCCCCCCCCTTTTTTTTTCCTCTTTTAAATACAGAGCTCTTAACTCTACAAGAAGTATGGGATAGATAGAAATTTAGAGAGAATACAGCTCTTCTTAGGGCTGGAAACAAGGTGATGATCAGATCTTCCTATGTTACTTCCCTAGTTGTCTTGGGACTGTTTAAGATAACAGCCATTCCAGAAAACTGATGGAAAATGCATTTAAACCCTGTTTAATCAGCCCACTAAGACACCCAAGGTCTAGGGACACATGTCCCTGTGGCAAGGAAAACACATGATAATGAATGAAGAAATAGCCGTGAAAGCAGTGTTTAATCCTTTTGTGAATAGTGGAGGCAAAAAATGCCCTAGATAATTCATGGAACAAACTGTGGGAACAAATCTGTAAGACCAAGAAGATCAGGTATGAGGGGGACAATATAATTTTGATTAAAAAGCAACCAGTGGAAATAAGTTTAAGCATCTCATCATTTTGTCACCATTTCTGTATTCCATTCCACCAAACCTTAATCTTCTCATTATCAGGCCACAAGTTAAAGAAAATGCATATCTTCTCCTCTGGCAACTGTTTTCTTTTTGGCATACAGAGCTGTGATGGCTTAGGTGCCTGAGAAATCAGACATGCAAATAAAGCCATCTTTAGCTCCTGGTGACCAATTACAAAAGAAATACAAGTTGGTCTGCCAAATGCAGACTGAGGCAGACTCATAAAAGAAACAGTCCTTACATCTTCAGGGACCTCTGCTTCTAATGATATGATAACTTGCATTCTCTAGCAGAGCCGGAAGGCTATTCTGTTATAAATACAAAAGAGGAAATAATTCAGGCTTCCTCACACACATTTGTGTGACAGAACTTGTATTTGCTCCTTTCACTCTTCATGGTTTAATACATCTGAGCTCACAGAGTGAGAAACAGATCAACAATTTTGTGTGAGGGTGAAAGAAATGGAAAAGGGATTCACAGGTGGGTCTAAAAGCCTACGAAGATGAAATAAAGCGGTGGGAGGGGAGAGATATTGTTTTGAAAGCAGATAAAATCTTGAAAAAGTTGCTCCATTGGACAACAAGTGTTTGGGACATTCTGGGTTTTATACTCCAAAAATGTTTTTTTTAAATGGCCAAACTCTGTTTATGTTTAACAGTGTTAGGAATGCAGGTCAGACCATTGTATTTTACACAATCGGCAGATATTCTTCAATATAACACCGTGTATTCTGAAAAAGAGGGGACGTGGTGGCGCTGCGGGCTAAACCGCAGAACCCTGTGCTGCAGGGTCAGAAGACCAAGCAGTTGTAAGATCGAATCCACGCGACGGAGTGAGCGCCTGTCGCCTGTCCCAGCTCCCGCCAACCTAGCAGTTCGAAAGCATGCAAATCCGAGTAGATAAATAGGTACCATCTCGGTGGGAAGGTAAACAGCATTCCGTGTCTAAATCACACTGGCCATGTGACCACGGAAAGATTGTCTTCGAACAAACGCTGGCTCTATGGCTTGAAGAGTGGGATGAGCGCCGCCCCCTAGGGTCGGACACAACTGGACAAAAATTGTCAAGGGGAACCTTTACCTTTACCTTTTATTCTGAAAAAGAGCTTTAATATCATCTTGAAAGAACTTCCATGGTGAATCAAACAAAGTTTTAGATACTGAAGCCACCTTTTCCAGTAACTCAAAGCTCATTTTCAACCTTTTAGAGGAAAAGGAAATGGAAGCATGAATAAAACTGAATGCTTGAACAATATAAGCCAGAGAGCTAAACCATAGCAAACAAATCCAGCTTAAAAAATAAATCCCCTTGTTTCTAAAATTGGATTGCTTTTTAACCAAAGACCATGCTACTACAGTTTTGGTACCTGAAACTAGATTTCATATGGAAGGAAGACACCAGAGGGTGTACAGTGCTAGCAGGAATGTGAATGCCACAGCCTTTTCCCATTGGTGGAAAACAAAGAGAAACATCCTTCTTCTCTCAGTGAGATTTTGCTGTGTGTCATCTCCCTCCTGAGAAATTTCATGGGAAATCTGATGGGACTTCTCAGATGTTTCCTGGTCATTTCTTTTCTAGAAGAACCAGGGATCTGAGCGGAATTATTACAATTCGGCACAAAACAGCACTTTTCCTGCACAGGATAAGGGCATTAAGCTGTTCAGCATTTTGCAGATTTTTCCACAAAAGAATAGGCAAAAAAGAAAGAAGAGGAAGGAAAATAAAACAGAGTTTCTAATTTTTGCGGAAATTCAAGAAATCTTGTTGATTCAAGGCAGTGTCTAGGTGAAACGCCTTCAAAATTTACAACGATTGAGAATTTTTTCAAGTACTCTCTGTATCATCAGATGCGTGACCATTCTACTTTTCATGGAAATCCAGTGAAAACTCTTCTGGGCATCTCACTGAGTTGCAATATTGCTGCCTCAGACAGAATAACAAGAAATAGATGTCACAGCTATCTGGAGGCAGGAGACATGTCACATCTACAGGAAGAACCTAGCACACTGTAATTTGATCCAGATTATGTAGACTCCTAGCCCCTTCTACCACACATACAACAAATGAGAAGGTTATTTGAAGAAATAATTAATTAACTGCAGGAAACAATAAAAAAGGACCTTTTCTCACCTTAAATGATCTTGCTTTGGTTCATGTCTTTAAGAGCTTATCATAGTCTTGTTTACAGGGCAAGAGCTTCCTAAATAACATGACTGGAATGCTAAAGTGATTTTTGCCCTAATTATGGGTTATTTTCAATATATAGTTTGGGCCTCTGAAGAATATTCTACAGATTTCAAAGGAGTTCACCTCTAAGCAAAATATCATGCTGCCACTGCTAGTTATGTGGGCTTCAACATGTCATTATTCAGTCTTCCTAAAAGAAAAAAAACCCAATTTCTTCTTCTCAATAAACCTACTTAGGTTTGACCCTAACCCTATCCAAAAAGGAGAAGTACATGATTCTCAGAGACAATACTAAAAAAGTTTTTTAAAAATAGTAAAAAAATAAATATATTGGGTTATGGGATATCTAAAATAAGGACTATCTTTTAAGAGGTGGTAATGAAAATTTTGACTATTTCAATTTCATTGTGCTGGACAAGAGTCTTAGTAAATCGGAGGCTATATATCTGCTTTACTGAATGAAAAGTTCTTTGAGACCCAAACTATTAATATTAACAAAGTCAAGATTGATGACAACTAGGCGGCATACTGAGTTCTTTTTTTATCTCTTGAAAATGTCCTGGCAGACTGTTCTGAAGAATACCATGCACTGTTTTAACCTGTCAGATCAACTATTTTTAAAGGAAGTTGCAACATTCTTGCAGTTTCAAATCTGGAATTTGAGATATCCCATGGCCTGGTGAAATCCTGAAATACAGGGACACATATTTTAAAAAATACTGTACTGTAAACAGAAAGAAAAGTGGTACCTGTTGCTGCATCTTACTGATGTTTGTTGTTGTTGCTGAGAGATCTCCAAAATGATCTCCTGTGATGCCCAGCTCTTGCAAACTCAAGCCTATGACTTCCTTTAGGGAGTCAAACCATCTGGTATTTAATCTTCCCCTTTTTATGCTGCCTTTCATTTTTCCCAGCATGATTGTCTTTTCCAGAAAACCCTGTCTTCCCATGAGGTGCCCAACGTAAGACAACCTCAATTTCCAAATATTTCCTCTAGAGATAGTTCAGGATTGATTGTTACTAGAAAACTGATGTTTACGTAGACTTAAATTTTGCTGAGTTTAATGTCTTCCTTTTAAATACAACTGTAATCTTAAATCTGTTTTGTAAAAAATTTATAAATGTTGACCTGTGAAAGATGTTTTCTGTTTGGTCTATGCATCACTGTAAATAGGTATGTTTGTGTTCATGTACAAAGAAAAAACAAAATGCCTGACAACTACAGATAGAAAATTGGAGTGGAGAAAGTGTTTCCTAAATTATAATCAGTTATTAAGTCATTCTGTGAATGCAGATTGCTTAAAATTTGTACTGTTAACAGAATCAGAAAATGTTAAACGTTGTCTCCTTGAAGGATGAAGTGTAAAATGTTGTCCCCAACTCATTAAGTGTCTTAGCAGCAAGGGACAAACTGTCTACTGAGGTGCCAAGATGGAATTTTGTAAAACTTTATCATGATGAAGGGAATAGTTTAAGAAAATTCATTTTTAAAAAGGCATTGCAAAATCTTCATTGAAATGGTGGCATCAAAAGAGAAAAAGCTATGTCTGTTTTAAAAAGCTAGATAAAAGCAATGGATTGCCTCATAATTTTTGTACAACAAATGACTTTCAGATCCTGGCGATCTCCCAACATTGCTTTTAACACTCTCTCCTTGCAAACTTAACTGGGTGATGCATGTGTGTGTATGAATTAAGAGGTTATAAAAGGAAAAAAAACTGCATAGAAGGGAACTTTGCAAGCCAAGCAGCGACAATGATCAAAGCGCTACGTGCTCAAGAAAATAAAATAGAAGGAAATAACAAAGGTGGCTAAAATCAAATAAAAGGAAATATGAGGATGGATAAAGCAACATCCAGCAGAATTCCAGAAAAGATCTCACCTTCCATTGTATTTTGCAGCAGCTGCTCCAGGTGCTTCTCTTCAGAGGTCTGGGATTCTTCTGAACTTCAGAAAGAAAAGAAGAATCCCAAACAGGCAGGCTTCTGATTCAAGAAAAAGAGGCTGCCTTGCAATAATGACAAATCCATGGTTGACAAGGACAGGAAATGGTTCCGTCTTGCATAGGAACAGAGCACCCTCAGGTGGTGGGGGAAGGTGGCAAATCAGAAGGGACAATGATGCCACCATTGTGAGGAGTTAACTCATCTTTCTCTAAGTTTCTCTTACAGGGAAACTACATTCGCCCCCCCCCCAGTACTGAAACCACACTATTTTTATGCTTTGTTTAATTTGCTCAAAAGTGATGCTAGCTGAGACTGAAATCAATCTGGAAACCCAGTTTTCAGAGACAAGGCCCTGTCCCTCTTTTGCAGTTGGGAGTGTGGAAATGGTCCTCAGTATTGCATTCAGATTGCTGAATTCTAAAACATTTATATATAATTTTTCCAGATGAGTATCTGTCTGAGGTAGCAAAAACTTTCAGGGTTTTATTAGTTTTTCTGGCATCACATACGACTTTGATTTTGGACATTAACAGTGCGATCATAAGAATGTTTACTTAGAACTAAATTGTTGTTATTGTTTAGTCGTTAAGTCGTGTCTCATTCTTCGTGACCCCATGGACCAGGGCACGCCAGGCCCTCCAGTCTTCCACTGCCTCCAGGAGTTTGGTCAGATTCATGTTGGTCGCTTCGATGACACTGTCCAACCATCTCGTCCTCTTTTGTCCCCTTCTCCTCTTGCTTTCACATTTTCCCAACATCTGGGTCTTTTCCAGGGAGTCTTCTCTTCTCATCAGATGGCCAAAGTATTGGAGCCTCAGCTTCAGGATCTGTCCTTCCAATGAGCAATCCGGGTTGATTTCCTTCAAAATGGATATGTTTGTTGTCTTTGCAGTCCAGGCGAATCTCAAGAGTCTCCTCCAGCATCACAGTTCAAAAGCATCAATTCTTTGCAGTCAGCCTTCTTTATGGTCCAGTGAGAGCTCTCACTTCCATACATCACTACAGGAAAAACCATAGCTTTGATTATGCGGAGCTTTGTTAGCAAAGTGATGTCTCTGGCTTTTAAGATGCTGTCTAGGTTTGTCATCGCTTTCCTCCCAAAAAGCAGGTGTCTTCTAATTTCGTGGTTGCTGTCACCATCTGCAGTGATCATGGAGCCCAGGGAAGTAAAATCTGTCACTGTCTCCATATCTTCCCTTCTATTTGCCAGGAGGTGATGGGACCAGTGGCCAAGATCTTGGTTTTTTTTTGATGTTGAGCTTTAGACCATTTTGGTGCTCTCCTCTTTCACCCTCATTAAGAGGTTCTTTGATTCCTCCTCACTTTTTAC